TTAGTGCTTTTCTATAGTATTAAGCCTCAAACGTCAAGTACACATCGGATTGCTTTCTTCTTTAAATTATAAAAAAAGTAAAAATATGAATGGTATTATAATGTTATACTAAAACTAAAACAATGGAAAAACCCTTAAGATAACATGTAGAGAGAAAAAACGTATCTTAAGCGCGCAGAATAACATAAGTGGACTTTGAACAATTAATTGCCGCTTTGAACGATTACGTAATTGTGGCATCTGTAATTGTAATTGCGATTAGAAATTCGATTAATTGTGCATAATATTAAAATATTTTATATCGGATTAAAAATGAGACACGTGTTCTTGTAGGGTCACATCTCTCCCTGAGGTCGAGCTGGAGTGCAGGTCGTGACCTCGGCCCCGGGTCGCGACCCCTGGGAGTCTAGTTTCCGCTCGGCGCGTCTCTGAGAGTCTGCAGGCTTAATAATGGATAACTCACGTGTTGCAGGCGGTCATGGCCGGACACGTGTCTCCCGTGCAGAACTCCGAGATCGTGCTGTACTGCAGGTTGATGAGATTGAAGAACGTGGTGGCTAGAGAATCACACAGAGGATGCAACGATAAAACACAGCATTCCTATAAAAGTCATTCTATAAAAACTAAGCCCTAAATACGCATACACAATGATCAGGTGACCGTAACTTATACTATGCGTAATAACCATTTTTCTAAACATCGGCACAAATCTTTACACCTTTTTCATTTGTTTTACATTTTTAAAAATTTTTAATTTATTAAAATTACATATAACAGTATTTTAATTATAATTTATGAACATTAGCTATTATTGTGTCTATATATATATTATGTAAATTACCTATAATGTATCACATAAAAGTACTGTGGTAATATATCAACAACTGTTTTCAACATCAGAAATGTTTCTTGAGCAGCAAATCAGCATATTAGAATGATTTCTGAAGATCATGTGACACTGAAGACTGCAGTAATGATGCTGAAAATACAGCTGCGCATCACAGAAATAAATTACATGTTAACAGATATTCACATAGAAAACAGCTGTTTGAAATTGTAATAATATAACAGTGTTTTTACTGTATTTTTGATCAAATAAAAACAGCTTTGGTGAAATATATTACATATATATCTTAAATATATTCTATGTAAATGAAACAATCTACTCAACAAGTACCATATGAACTCATCCAGAGAAATGATTAACCATTAAAAGGCAGTGATTTTGGTTTAATAAGTGCTTGTGGAATTTGAAAGTGTATTCAAGTTTCCTAAAGTAAGCCATCCTTTGTGTTTTTTTTCTCCACATGTTTTCTTTCAAGATAAAGTGGAGGGGAATGCAAACAATGGTGTGATTCGTGGCTCTGGAGCTGATTTATCATGCGGTTATATAACACAGAGGTGAAACCATGTTTTCAAAACACGACTAGTAACTAGACACAACACAACCGCAGACGGTCAGCCGCGGTTGGGGTCAAGGGTCGGCCGTTGCCAGATTAAAAACAACCAATATACCACAACGTGGGAAAATTATACCTAAAATTGGGGACAAATAATTAAACAGCATTTCAGGACATGATCCTTGGCTTCAGATGTGATCTTCTACCAAAAGAGCATCAACAACTGCATTGCGAATTTAATTTCTATTGCAGGGTTAATTCTATATGAGGTGATGCGAGTCACTCACTGCTGCAAGCGAGCCATTCGTTCAGGTCGATCTCTCTCGGTAAAACCACCAGCTCCTTGAGGTCGAAGTCGACGACTCTCACTTTGGTGTGTTCTGCATCCAGGTAATGCTTCTTCTCCTCGGGGGGCGGCTTCTTTCCATTGGGCTTCCCTTTGCCCTTCCTGTGCAGATGAAACGAGGGCGAACAGAGGTTACTCAACCTGATAGAGCTGGGAACAAAGTCTGAAACTCTTTAGAGCGGCAAGAAAAAAAAAACTACTACTACTACTACTAATAATTATAAATGTAATGCATGGATGAATGGTAGATGGATTACATCATCAGATTCCAAAAGTACTTGTAATTAGATTATATTGCATTTAAAAATGCTCATAATCAGATGTAGTAACTGTAAATAACTGTAGTTACTTTTTATGGATTACATGATTACATATTATCGACACAGTAACAGTAAATTATTCATACTTTACTGATTCAAACTAATTCTTATTTTTTTTTTTTCTCCACCCCAGAATGGAAAACCCTGATGTAATGTGATGTTTAATGCACATAATGTTGTTGATAAAGAATGAAAGGTATTTTCTCTGTATTTTTTATTTTTGTATTTTATTTCAATACAGGGTAAACGAGATAGGTCAAAAGTAATCTAAACGCAATTGGAATACATTACCTACATTAACTGAAACTAACTAACTACAATTTTGTGTACATTAACGGACTACAATTTGCAAGTAATCTACCCAGCACTGTATGTGTATATATAGATATGCATTAAATAAAATAAAAATGATCAAATATTATATCAATTAAAAACATTTCTTTATAAAATCTCAACACTGAAATGTCCAAAAATAAATACATTCTTTGAAAAATCATTGCATATGTATGTGTGAAGATGGTCCATTATTTCTGAGGGGGCCTAGTACAAGTTTCTGTGTTATGTAAGCACATACTAACACCTCGTGCATCGCAGCAAACTACGCAACGATCTGTGCACATACATTTTTCCACTGCAGGTTTGCTCAGTTAACCTTGCCCTGTGATTAGCGCAGCAGACCACAGACATCCAGGCTTTTCCTTCCACATCTATTTTTAGCAGAGGCGGGTTGTATTACCATCAGACCCAGCGGCCCGTTCCCAGTCCTCCCACCACACCCGCGCGAATACAGTAACAACACTCCACTCCAACACACAAGAGCTGCTTTCATGGAAAACAAGAGCTTTAAGAGCCAACAATTACCTCACAGCACCTTCAAAACGCTAACGACTTCTGACAGGAGATGCTTCGCAAATCAAGCTTTCATACAAAACCACTTTGACAAACTTTTACTGTGTCAGAGATGTAGGTCGGGGTAAATGTGCTAACAGAGCACAATTTTGTTCATGCCAGTTACTTTTAATCTGTGGAGAGTAGACAGATTTATTTATTTCAACAATACATTGGAGTGGAAATATAATTTTGTTACGAAACAAAAAACTAAACTAAACTAAACTTAACTTAAACTTAAACTAAACGTAAACTAAACCTAAACTGAACTAAAAAAAACTAAAATAGACTAAAATAAACTAAAAAAAAAAACTAAAATAAAACTTAAAACTAAACTAAACTAAACTTAAACTTAAACTAAATGTAAACTAAACCTAAACTAAACTTAAACTAAACGTAAACTAAACGTAAACTGAACTAAAACGAAACTAAAAAAACTAAAATAAAATAAAATAAAAAACTTAACAAAACTAAACTAAACTTAAACTAAACTAAAACGAAACAAAAAAAACTAAAATAAAACTTAACAAAACTAAACTAAACTAAACTTAAACTAAATGTAAACTAAACCTAAACTTAAACTAAACGTAAACTAAACTTAAACTAAACTAAAACTAAACCTAAACTGAACTAAAAAAACGAAAATAAAAAACTTAACACAACTAAACTAAACTTAAACTAAACTAAAACTAAAACTGAACTAAAACGAAACTAAAAAAACTAAAATAAAACTTAACAAAACTAAACTAAACTAAACAAACTGAACTTAAACTAAAACTAAAACTGAACTAAAAAAAACTAAAAACAAAAACAAAAAAAAACTAAAATAAAACTTAACAAAACTAAACTAAACTAAACAAACTGAACTTAAACTAAAACTAAAACTGAACTAAAAAAAACTAAAAACAAAAACAAAAAAAAACTAAAATAAAACTTAACAAAACTAAACTAAACTAAAACTAAACTTAAAACTAAACTAAACTAAAAGCACACTGAAAATTATAGCTACAAAAACATTTCCGGGTCTTTTGGATGTGCATACCTTTTTGCAATTCTTCGTTATTAAAATGTTTACATAAAAATTATTTGAATTATTAAATGATTAATTAATTGGTTATTAAATAAATTATATTTTTAGTTTGATAAAAATGTTGCAACAATACCAATACTATTATACAAATATCTATCAAATAAGTTTTGGTTTTCGGCCAAGTGCATCCAGAATTTTTATTTCAGTGCATCAAAATAAAAAAATAAATAATAATACTAGGTTACTAGGTTAATGTTAAGTGATCGCTGATGGTATTATGTTTAAGAATTACTGGTCATATGTGTTATATGGAAACATTTGCTTCATACATACACATATCAGCAAGATAATACAATATATGAGCAGAACAAAAACAATTGACTTATTAATTGGAAATTGGCTTTATCTTTAACTTTGACATCAGCATCTGCAGAAAGCAATATCGCTGACCTCTAACGGGGAGATTCTCATATCAGCTGTGTTTCTGATATCAAACGTGAGGCCAAGCAGTTGGAAACAGTAAAGAGCTCTCATATCTTAGTGTTTTTCTCCTACAGCACGGCAGTCCAATAACAGCAGCGCTATATAAAGCCGCGTCTGTGTCCGTCTGAAAGGACAGACCGGCCTGCTCTTTAGACAGCTGCTCCCATGTTGTTTGACTCCGGGGCCCGGGGCCAGTTCAGGCTCTCCACACAGAGAGCGGCCTTGTTGCTTTAAAGGGGTCATATGATGCTGCTAAAAAGAACATTATTTTGTGTATTTGGTGTAATGAAATGTGTTTATGCGGTTTAAAGTTAAAAAAACATTATTTTCCACATACTGTACATTATTGTTTC